ACACACACACACACACACACACACACACACACACACACACACACAAATCTGCCCCGACAGACAGACACACACATACACAAACACATACACTCTCTCACACACACACACATGTGCACGCACACACACACACACACACACACACCGAGAAACATGCCCAGAAGTGGACCAGCATATGCAGGGTTGTCCCCATGATGTTCCTCTGAATCTGCCACCCTGGGACTGGGCAATACTCTGGCCTTTCAGGTCAATGATCTTTCTTCAGAGCTACCTAATGATAGATGCGTAAAGGAACAAAATGAGAAGAGTGGAGGAGGAGGAGGAAAAGGAACTGTTTGTGGCAAAGTGAATGGCAGGGCTGTTTCTATGTGTATTAGTGGGAAGGTCACTAGACCTAATAATCCAGAACTCCCAGGCTAATGTTCTCAGGATGTGGGTTTGAATCTCACTGGGACACATGGTAATATTTGAATTCAACACAAACCTGAGAATAAAAAATTTAGCCTAATGACAATCTAATCACAAAAAAACATTTGTGTCACAAAATCAGCTAACCAGGTCTGACCTACATGTGACTCCAGGCCCAGCTCAGGGTGATCTGATTCTTGACTGCCCTGTGGGTAATAAATGCTGACCTAGCCAGCAATGCCCATATCCCAGAAACAAATATAACAAAATTATGTAATCAGTTAAGGAAACAAGGTGGCTCTAGAGGAGCCACAAATCATAGAATCCCTACAGTGTGAAAGCAGGCCATTCAGCCCATCGAGTCCACACTGACCCTCCAAAGAGCATCCCACCACCCCCACCCTATCCCTGTAACCTGCATTGCCCATGGCTGATCCACCTAACCTACATTCCCGGACACAATGGGTAATTTAGCATGGCCAGTCCACCTAGTCTGCATATCTTTGGACTGTGGAAGGAAACCCACGCAGACACAGGGAGAATGTGCAAATGCCACACAGACAGTCACCCGAGGGTGTAATTTAATCTGGGTCCCTGTCACTGTGAGATAGCGGTTCTAAGCACTGAGTCACCATATTGTCCAGATGGCAACAACAAAATGATTGCAAATGTATACTGACTGACAACACGGGAGTGCCATTAGGGTCTGATATTTTTGAACTCAGTGTCGAGTCCAGAAGTATACAAAATATCTCATTGAAAGATAGACACAGGTTAACTTTGGCTTTCACAGGTTAGTAATAAATCATTCTTCCTTTTCAGACAGAGTAATGACCTGAGGATTAGTAAACCATAGCAATATCCCTTCCTGCTCCATTATTTCAGGAATTAAAACTGAAATACTGACAGCAGACAGGAAGGTTCTCTGCAGCTCTTTATTTAAAATGGGTAAAAGTCAAACTCTATATTTCAGGCATTTCTTAAGCAGCATCATCAGTGACTGCTTCAAATCAGATGGAAAAGAGCAAAATCATTGCAGAAACTGAAATGCAATGCAAATAGGGAATGTGAGTGTGTGTGTGTGTGTGTGTGTGTGTGGGCACGTGCGTG